ATTCATATAAACTACATGATATCACAAAAAATATTAAAAAACAAGGTCGTCTACATCATATTGGTGAGCACGATAATAAAGCTTATTAATTTAATTTAAAGAATGTAAAATTGAAAAACAATGTATGAGTGTGCTTGCATTATACCTTTTTGTATTAATGACTGCCTTCGAGTAATTTGAGTGAATTGAAAAGTCTAATACAATCAATCCTCTCACTCTGGACCAAAAAATTGAATTATAGAAAAGTTAAATAATGTAATTATAGGGGAGGTTTTTTTTACATAATTTTATTATAAATTTCAAATCGAATCAACAAAATCTTTTAATAATTTATCCATAGTAAAGGTCGATTACCACGTCTCAAAATTTATCTTTTTTTCAGATTTGACAGTAATAATTTGTTTCGAGAAAACATTTTTTTTTATTTTTAAATTAAGCTTTAAAGTTTATAAAATTCAAAATTCGAAATTCTTTTAACAATCACGATCTTGAGGTGTATTAAATTACAATTTATTTAGAAATAAAATAAAAAAATCATTCAAAACTTTAAAAATGTTGATTTGACTTTATAATTTATTAAAATTTAAAAAATAATTTTTTTTTAATATCTAAAAATTTTATTTATTTTATATATTATTTATTATTGATTAAAATTAATATAAATTAATTTAAAGATAATTTAAGATCTATTTAAGTAACAGTATTAGCAAATAAATTTATCATATTTTTATAAACTAAAATTTTTTATATATATATAATATATTTTAGAAAATAAAAATCCTATTTATTATATTTTAACATATAATTAATTTCTTAATATGTAATACTAACTAATGCTAAGCTTAATACTATCTATAAGAGAAATATAATGCTTGTAACAAAGTTGCTAATAGATAGATAAATTTGAAGAATAATTTAAATAATTTTATTTATTAATCATGAAATATTTATTATTTATTCAAAATTATGTTATATTACCTTATTATAAAATATTTGATTATTATTTTAAATATGAATTAAATAATACCAATATAAACTATCCCTTTCTTAAAATTAATAGGTAAATATATATTTTGTATTTTAAAAATAAAAACTTAATATAAATTATCTCGGATAGTAAAATAAGACATGCAGATTTTGTATGGCTAGCATGCGTTATGGCTTTTTCATTCAATATAGATTGGTAATTTTTTAAGAATTTCTCAAATAACGTGAGAAAACAGTTTGGGCGTCGTTGTAATTATTAATTTGCCAGAAATTTCCATCAATTTTGCATAATTTTTTCGTTTTTCAGACGTTAGACATCTTTTGTTTCATCTTGATTAATAATTCATGATATTATTTTTTCCCATGATTGTCATCATTATGGCATGTTAATTAATAAACATTAGAACAATAATCTTAATTTGTACAAATTGTCGTTCGCAATAATAATAATGATGATGATGCTTAATTTGTACAAAATTAGAAAACAAAACAAATTTCTGAGTCACTTTCCTAATTAGAAAACAAAACCACTTCAAGAAGTAAAATTTTTATTTAAAGAGAGCGAAGAAATTAGCAAATTTTGCATTCTCACACGCAATATTATAAAACGCACTTCAATTTATAATATCAATAATTAATCCGCCATAACGTTCACACAATCATTTTTATACTTTAAAACAACCGCTTTATTAATAAACCATGGCAAAATTCTCTTGCATTTTTATCTTAATCTCCGTAATCATTTTCGCTCTTCAACCTGCAAACATTAGCGCTGGTCCTATTTCTTATGCAATTTGTCAAAGTGCATGTAATGTGGGCTGGGTTTCTTGTTACGCATCTGCTGGATTAGTCGCAGGTATATCATCTATTAATGTTTATTGCAAGTTAATGGATTAGAACGTAAATTAAACAAATTTAATTTTTTTAGGTACCGTTACTGGAGGTCTTGGTGCCCCCTTTGCCGCAATCGCTTGTAATGTTGCCCAAGGTGTTTGTATGGCAGCATGTGTTGGTTTGTTAACTGCTCCGACTCCCTAATTCCCTAAAGAAACTCCATCATTCTCGAGCAAGTTTTAAATAGTTTCTTCTCTTATAAATTTGATAAGTTTGGTAGTTCCTTTTTTTTTTTTCTTACAAAATAATATAAATATTGCTAAAAAAAAAAAAAAAAAAAAAAAATAAGGAAAAAGAACAAAAAAAAATTTATCATTATTTCTTTCTTGAATAGTTATAAAGGATTTCTTATCACAGTATTTTTATAAGCATTTTTGTCAGATTTTAAAAAATATATTGTATATTTGTATATTTGTTCGTTCACTCATCATAGTAAATGTCTTTTAATGAGTTTAAATAAATAACGACTACAATAACCTAGTTTTGAAATTGAATTTCACAAAATATTTTAGTTTTATGAGAAGATAGTTCCAAGTAAATTAAAATGAGATACTGCGGCACATCCTTCATCACGATAAAGTGACGGGTGAAATTATTCTGAATTTCCGAAAAAAAAACCTTGTTCTTTATCTAATTATAGAGCTTCTCTTTCATTTTAATAACAATAAGTAACATTTGAAAATTGACAAATTTTATTTCATATGTCAACCGCTCAACATTTGTCGCGCATTGCGTCACAATACAAACATGATCTTATTGGTCAACAGCTATAAAATTGTAAATTTTTTTTTTAAATATTTCAAATACAAATTCTATTTAATAACGTCTTTTGTTGTCAAGATATTATAGAAAAAAAAACCTTTTTTTTTTTATTTACCAACAAAATACAAAATCACATTTTCAAGGAGCAAATTTATATCATAACTTATAAAATAAGTTAAATATTAAAATTCAAGCAAGTCATTTTAACACCACTTTAACAAATAAATACTAAATCACAAATCATGGCTTATATTTTTGTCTTTAAACCTCTACAATAAATGTTCGCTCTTCTGTCAAAGGTTAATGCTGTTCCTGTTACTTATTAGAATATGATAATTTCATATGCCGTGATCGAGAGTTCTGGCAGATCATGAACCGCTCCTAAAATGTCAACCTGTATTTTAATCGATTTAATAATTGTTTTCTTCTTTAAACCTCCTGCTCATTTCTTATAAAAATTTTCTAAGAATTTCGAGAGTTCAATTTTTAACACAAATGGTTGTCACTACATATTAAAATCTGAAATATAATTAAATGCCCGAATTTACAACAACTCGGACAAACTCTAGCTTTCGTAACATAATGTTCTCATAAAGTTCAATTCGGAATGAGATTTATTCATTTAATTTTAAGACAAGAAAAATATTTTTTTAAAATAAAATTCAAAATTGTCAGTGTAACATGAAATATTCTAAATCTATTAACCGATAATGAAATTTCTTGTTCTTGGATCAAATATTAAAAAAAGCAATAACTTTGTGTATGATAAGGGAATAAAATATAATTAAAAAAATGAATTGGGATTACGCGAAACCTAGGTTTTATTTGACAGTTAAAAAGTGATATAACCAAAAAGAAAAAATTTTTTCCTATTGCTCCAAATAGAATATAAAATCGAAATCACAGCATCATATCAGTTCTGGTAAATATATTTTTTTAAAAAAAAAAAAAATATTTCTTAACTATTGATTGCACAGAATCGATCCTTAATCACATTTTTAAAATATACTAAAAGGTAAAGTGGTCCATTTTTCCAGGCGGATGATTTGTCTCACTAGGGAGTTGGCGCCAAAACGTGCCATCAACAAACACATTGGACAACAGTACCTTAAGTTTAATTTTGAAAAGTTCAAAAATTGTCATCAATATCATTAATATTAATAGATTATAATACCAGAGAACAAGTAACCCAGCCAACGTTATTAGTTTGATATATGCAATAGGGCCGCGTTAACATTTGTTGGTTGAAGAGCGAAGATTTGATCTCCATCCGTTTTTTTTCTTTTGGAATAGATATGAAATTCTGATAATTTTGATAAAAATTTTTTATTTTTAGTCATCGCAGTTTCATCTCTTAAAAACTTTGTTAAATATATAACGTAATACCGTATGTATTATTAAGAGTTTGCCAAAGCCAAATCACTCTTCTGATCACGCCTTTTAATATTAAAAAATTATTTTATTGTCGATACGATATTTACATGAAAAAGGATATGTAGAAAATTTCTCTGTCTTATTGTAATATTTTTGTGATCTTTATATTTCGATATCTTCTTTATCTTATATTTTCACAAGAAACAGATATTGCAATAATAGTTTCTTTAAGGAATTGGAAGAACAAAAAGTAGTACAAGCACCCTGGATAACGTTACAAGCTAGAACGGCAAAGGGGGCATAGAAAGAAATAGATCATGTGATATCGAACACCTGAAGTGCAAATTATGATATCAGGAAAATGCTATTCACTTCGTTTATAGCTCGGTTGAAATTATCAGGGGTAATGGATTAAAGATTTTAGCAAAACAATAGATCAAGGTATCGGGAGGTGGATAGAATAGATGCAATAAGACTTTATCATGTATCTTTTATTATTTTATATCAAGCGAAGCTGTATCACGGTCTAAGATCCGATATGTACTTTTTATTTTCAATCAACAAAGCAAAATTCACTAAGCACAATATATTTACATGATAATATTTCATATAATATGATTGAGGGATTGTATTTGCATCCCAATAAATGTCCAGCATAATATTCGGGAAAACTATTGCTGAGATGATTGCTGTGCAACGTAAGAAAAAATTAACAGTAACATCTTGTAGATGCGTAAATATTCTTGAACTTTCCACAGATACTCATAATAAAAAGACCCTTTTGTACAATCCCAAATGATTAGTGGTCAAGTCTTTTTATTATGTCTTTGAGCATCTGATTTTCTGTGATGCCATCATAACTCCTCCAAAGATTTTAATTCTTGGACCTCTGGAAATCATATAAAAGAAGAGGAAACGGCTAGAGAACCCTTTTATCTGCCTTGTGCAAATCAAATCAAGTGAAACAAATAATATCTAATCAAACTACATCCTTGATCAAATAAACGAGATTATCCGCAAAGTATTAATAAAGTAGGTTGGTTTATTGCTTGGCTAGCTTCTTGAAATATATCATCACGATGTTAATCGACATTCCCTCCTCTATAGATGTTCCAAAATAAAACAGACATATTACTCTTCTTATTATATCGGCATTCTGATATTCGCCGAGAATCATGATTGTTGGCGCGTCAAATCAGCGCAGTAAAATAGGTGGGATAATTTGAGAAACTTATAGAAAGCAATATTAGCGATGGAAATTAATTAGTTTTAGAAATTATTCTGAGAACAAAGAAATAATTTGATGCTGGGACTCCCTCTTTGAATCATACATTTCATTCGTTTCTCTAGAATTTCTGATTCGAAAAATCAATAAATTTTTGCCCACTTCAGGGTTTTGTTGCACGATCGTGTGGATTTTTTTTGACTGTCTAATAGGTCATATGATCGTCCGACAGTTACACCTATGATGCAATGTGTTACAGATTGATGTTTCAATATATTGGGTATTAACCCTCCTTTTTCCAACGATGGATTTTTTACAAACATATAGCAGTTGAAAACTGGACTTACGAAAAGCTTATAAAGATTTATCGTGCTACTTCAGGACAAAAGTACCCGAAAAAAGTGCTAGATAGCACAAAGAAAGATCTAAAAAAGGTGAAAGAAACGAACTCTGAATTCGACACGACGCGTCCCAAAGAATCGTTGATAACTGGAAAGTATATTTCTTTCTTAATAAGATAGAGAATACAAGTTAGGGAAAAGCTGTGACTCCTGGTCTACAGTTATGAACTCTTTGTTCTTCCCGGGTGCAAGCTGTGATTCCTGGTCTACAGTTACGAACTCTTCGTTCGACACTCAAGCAAGCGCAAGCTGTGACTTTTGGTCCACAGTGATGAAATCTTCGTTTGACGCTTTCTTTTCTTGTGCATTTATGTTTTTTTTGTATAATGTTTCTTGTAATTCTGTATTCTTTAAAAATTGGATCACGATGAGCGGTGATACAGGAATAAAGTTCGAGTTTAATCAGGTGAGATTCTAGTTTGAAAATTCTTACGACAAAAAAACTTGAGTAACATTTTCCTTCGGTTAGGTGCAACAGTAGGTGCTCGCGAATGGTAATACTGTGTCAATCGATAAAATCAATAATCACCGTTTAACTGAAAAACGTAGCCGGGACAATGGAGACGATGGAAAGGATATAAGTAACACAGGTGGGATCAACGGGTCATTCTTTTATTGTTTTGAATAATAAATAATTCAATATTTTTCTTAAAACTGACTTTTATTGCTGTAGAATTTGAGTGATGAAATCGATTCTTTCTTTCAGAGTTAATCTGAAAAAAAATCGACAAATTTAATTAAAAACGGCAGAATTGGACGAACAAGGAAATGACACTGAGGAGGACGATGCATGGTATTCATATTAAAGTGATTTGTTCAGTCTATTCATATAATGTCTTTTTCTATGAGCAGCTAACAAATTATGCACTTTCGCAAGAGGTATTTTATGAGGGAGTAAAATTGCAAACGAGTTATAAGCAAGAGAACAAAATCAAGGAAAATGTATCTACACGCAAGGTAAAAAATTCTAGATGGTAAACTAAAAGAACAAAAGGTTCACGTTCCTATATTTAGGCAAAAAAACGTGTGAAGATCACGAAAAATTCAAGGCCAAAAAATGACGGCGAAAATTCCTCTTTCGATTTTACTTCCTCTTCTCTTGAGTAAAACGAAAAAATAGATTTTGATTTTAACAGCATTGAAAAGGAGTTATCTCGAGAACTGACTAATGAGGTATGCCACGTATCAAATGTCCTTATGCTTTTTATTTTCATATCTCACAATCTCATCTCATCCTTTTTAGTGGGTTGTAGAAACTATCAACGTTTCATGACGATTTAGAAAATACCAGAAAGAGGTACTTGAGAAGACGAAAACTTAAGTTTTAAAATATTGCGACACTTATGCAATTTTGTAAGTGTTCGTACAATTGACTAGCCAATGGTTTATATGAGATTATGTTTATCATTCTTCCCTGTTATTTTTAGTGCTTTATCGTCAATAATGGTATTCCTCTGGCCCTGTCCGTATTCCATGCTTACTATTCAAGATTATGAACACTAACCCGTACAAAATTCAAGAATCTCCTCTTTCACAGGAAATTCTACTAAATCTTCACAAGCATATCTTAACTATTTTCTTGGCAATGATGTTTTTATGAATGGTGGAAATCGAAACTAAGCAGGATGGCGGCGTGCGCATTCAATGATTTGTAAATTAACTCATTTTATAATGGTATTTTTACTCACGAATTACATTTGTAATATTTTTTTTTTAACACATTACAGATATAACTGTATTCCAGACATTGCGCCACAAAAGATGTCTGAGGATGTACCAATACTTAACTCAGAATTCAAACCTCTTGGTAGCACACCGTTACAACGTAAAAAAAATAAGCTGAAAGTACAGCTAAAAGCACGAAAATCGATAATCAACAATTACGAAGCAAAGGAGGTCCGGGCGAAGCAGGCATATTATTTAATAATGAGATATTACATGGAAAGTTGTTATTTTTGTGTATATGAAACCATCTTCTGTGATAATCAGACGAATTTATGTAATCATATTTCATGAACTTAAAATATGACGGTTTATACCAGATTAGTTATTGATAAAGCAAAAATCTCGCTAACGAATATTCAATTAGTCATCTTGTGGCTTTAGAAGTATGTATTTTTTTTTAGTCAACAATAACGAATTTGTTTACAACTTTCATTTGTTCTTTACGATTGTTGGACATGTTGGAAGAATCGCGAAGAACTTCAAATACAGAAAGTGTAGGACTGGCAATACTACACCACTTGAACAAATATCATATATATGCGCGATGAACCATATTCTCCACAGATAAATAAACTCCTTCATTAAATATGGATAAGGCCATATTCATTTATTATATTAATATCAAGAACATATCGGTTTTTTAATGTATGCCCTATTGAGTTTTTAATTGGCGTGTTTTGATATTCTTGATTTCTAAAAGAATAATTTCTTCTTGTTGCGTTTAATTGCCCTAAAGAATCGAAAAAAAATAAGTAGTGTATAAAAATTATCTGCTACCATTAAATTCTGAAGAATGATATTTTTATATGTTTGCGAGTGATATGACGTGATGTGTTTTATATGTTTTATATAGACAAATTTATTCTAGATTCTGAGCTTTCCAATAAATAAAATTTTAAAAGTACTTATCACGTGATATGTTCATCCTGAACCCGGGGTACATTTTAAGGACGCACTACTTTATTATGTTTACATGAAATTTAAAATAAATTGATGTCATCTGAGGTCATTTAAAGTCTTATAAACAAATTTGTATGTTAAAACAGTCTCTCCTATAATCACTTTTTTATAATCCAATATTTTGTCCCAAGAGGTGTGAATATATGGTATTAATATTACTCGAATTCGAAAGGCAGATCATTCGTAAAATGCAAGCCTATTCATATATTGTTTTTCAAATTTACATTCTTTAAAATAGAAATTGAATATAAAATATTGGATTATTGATGTTATTAATACATAAATATTACGCAAAGGAATTCAATCTAAAGCTCAATCCAAAGTGCACGTCATATATTTCATCGCATTGACAATGAATTTGTTCTCTGAGAAGCCGATCTCCAATATTAAAGTTGATTAGCGAGCTCTTTATGTTAATTAATTTATTGTAAAAAATACAAATTTCAGAGGTTTTTCTACATAATATTTTTTTTGCTTTAGTAAAAGTACCAACATTGCTAATTGAAAATTTAAAAATATTAAATAATAATTATTATTTTCGATTTTCTTTTAAGTTGATTTATTTTCACTTTGGATCGGTGTTAATCCCATTCAAATTATGTTTTGCTCAATTCAATTCGTTATTATATTATAAATAGGCAGATAGTTGCTCCTTCAAATTTCTTCAAAAATAATTATTATTTTTTAACTCCTCATAAGCACATATACTCACTAGTATTTTCAGATATCAAAGTGCACGCATATACGTTCAATATGAGTTCAATACAAGATTATAGTGCTTCGGAAATTCAACAAGATGGTAACGGAATGTTTAACCTATCAATTAAATATTTCTTAAAATGTGTATTACTCATTCATTTTTCTTTCAAACTAATAATAGTTGCGGAATTTATATCAAATTTTGAAGATTATGGAATCGATGATATTAATGCGCCAGCCAACAACATGTTTGAAAGCCATATTCAAGGTATTAAATAAGACATTAATCTTTCTAATTTTCAACAAGGTGGTAACGTTAAGATTAATCGTTATATATTAATCTTTCATTTGCTTCAAACTAATTATAGCGGAATTTCTAGATCAACCTTATAATGATTATTCGGAAACTGGTATTAATGCGTCAGCCAACAACATGTTTGAAAGCCATATTCAAGGTATTAAATAAGACATTAATCTTTCTAATTTTTAACAAGATGGTGACGTTAAGCCTAATCGTTATATATTAATCTTTTCATTTGCTTCAAACTAATTATAGCGGAATTTCTAGATCAAGCTTATAATGATTATTCGGAAACTGGTATTAATGCGCCAGCCAACAACATGTTTGAAAGCCATATTCAAGGTATTAAATAAGACATTAATCTTTCTAATTTTCAACAAGATGGTAACGTTAAATGATCGTTTTATTAATCTTTCAAACTAATAATAGCTGTGGAATCGATAAATCAAAATCAGTATCCAACTTTTCATTCGCATTCTTCGGAAGCTTCTGTACTCTATGATAATACAGATATCAACATGTCTGATAATTATGGAAGCCTTATTCAAGGTAATAAATATTTTCTAAACTTTGCATTATCCTTTTTATTTTGCTTCAAACTAATAAACCAAACTAATAATAGAACTAAATGAACTACCCAATATTCTAATGTCAACATATGTGAACAATTTTCATGTGACACTTACAACTTCAAACAACATGTCTGATTATCAAGGTAAATATTTGTTAAACTTAATATAATATGAACCTTTCTTCATTTTAAAATTGCGTATTCATATCTGAAAATGATGAATGCTGTTTAATTATTTGGTACTAACTATAAAAATAACGTTACATTACTTCTTTCTTAGGCTTTGACGCTAATACCAAATCTTATAGAAATGGAAGTTCCCAATCTAGCGAAAGTTGTGGAGGAGCTGAAGTAACAGAGAATAAATCTCCATGTATATGGAAGGAAGCCCAACTTTATTGATGCTTAAATATTTGAAAGAAAATAAAGAAAAGGTTATAAATCTAAAAAAACGTGGTACTACAGCAGGAAAAGTTAAAAAGCCACTCTGGAAAGGTGTATTCAATATGCTATGCGAAAATGGCTACAATGAATATTCTGAGGAACAGTGTGCAAATAGGTGGAAAAATATTACACAGAATTATAAAGTAAATTTTATTTTCTATAATATAAAATTGGCCAAACTGCTATTTTTAATAAATGGAATTTTTTTAATTTAGAATCGGTACATGAAGTATCAGCCATATGTTAGAAATTTTTGATAAATTTATAGGTTAGTTCCAAAGATTTTACATATAAATTATAATAAGTACTATCCTAATTCAATATACCTATATTAAGATTCGGAGATGACATCAGATGAGTTAGAATTTTAACCCATTTTGTTTTAAGAATTTAAGTTTTAAACATTATGCAATAAACAATAGTATAAATAGTCAATTAAGTTAATTAAGTTAAATTTGTTTTTTTTTTTGTTTCTTATTTCTTTAAAAATAAAATATTTTATATTCCATTTCGTTCTCTGTTTCAACTCACTCATTTGATTGTAATAAGCATGAGAGACTAATTATTGTAACGCACTGCTATTTCGTTAGGCTTAAAATTTTTGAAATTTCAGAAATTCTATTTTTTAATTTTGCCTAAATATATGAAAATTAATATTTAAACTTAATAAGAACTATGATAATTTTATACAAAAATGAAGATTGAAAGCTTTTAAATAAATCATAACAATGCAATTCCAAACTTTTGTTATAAATTAAAATTAAAGAGTCAAATTTCTTAAACAAGTATTCAATAAGTTTAGCTTGTTCTTTTTTTTAGTTAATTTGTATTTCTACAATTTAAATTTTTTTGCTTATCGAAATTAATGCTACAATAAAATTTGAATCGGTGAATTTTGATTTTATATCACCTCACCTTGATATCTCAATATTTTAATATTATAAATCAATAGGTTCAATTTTTTTAAGATATTTACAACTTAATCTAATAACTTCAAAAATTAAAGTGCTATAAAATCAAAATTTTGTTAAAAATTTCCCAGAACCTGAAATTGGTTTTTAGAATCATTATATTATCTGTCGGAATTTAAATGTCTACATTTTTGATTTATTTAGTATTAACCTGAGACAGTTTTTTTTTTTAAAAAAAAAAAAAATTTTCTTCTCTGTTAAATAAAAATTTATGTTTGGGATTTTTATCAAAACACTTTATTATATCTCATCAAATAAATAACAATTATTCACAAGATTCTGGTTCCTCTGATACCACTGTACCAGCATCCTCTCCAAATCAAGGTAATAAATATTTTTTACATTCAACTTTTTTTATTTTGCTTTAGACTAATAAATTTATAAAACTAGCGATGGAATTTTCTTCATTCCCATTTTCGAATTCCTCATTTATTCCGGAAGTTTCTGGATCCTCTACCAACACATCGACTTTTCAGAATTCCTCTCCAAATCAAGGTAATAAATAAATTTTAAACTTTGCATTCATTTATTTTTTTATTTTGCTTTAAATAATTAATGATTTATATAATTAGCGGCAAATAACCAGCCGACAATTTCCAACCATTATTTCTCGTTCCCACTCTCATTTATCCCGGAAGCTTCTGCTTCCTCTGATACCATTGCGCTAAATACCAACACTTCTTATTGTCAGGTACATTCTCCAAATAATAAGGTAAATAAATATGTTATAAACTTATCATGAAACTTTAATTTCATTTCAAAATTATTTATTATACCTGATAATGAATGTTGTTCAACTATTTGGCACTACTAAATAATAATGATATATAAAATAAACGTTATATTTTGTCATTTTTCTCTTTCTAGTTTTAATCACGGAGAATTTTAGTACTACTATCACACCTGTAAGTTCTCAACTTGACAAGAGTTGTAAAGAAACCCAACTATGGAAGAAAGGTGCCACTAAATCCTTACTATCATGCTTAAAAGAAAAGAAAAAAGATGTTCAATTATTAGTAAGTCGTGGTAAAGTAGCTAAAAAAGTTGGAAAACCGCTCTGGAAAAGGGTCTCCATTTGGCTTAAAAACGATCAGTACAATATTACTGAAACCCAGTGTAAGCTTAAGTTGAAAAGTATTAAACGAGATCGTAAGGTAAAAATTTATTTTTAGTTTATTTATTTTTTTTATTTTTTTTTTTTAAAAATAAATTGTATTTTTTAATTTAGAAAAAGCAAACTTTAAGTATAAGCCTTGATGAAATTCTTCGAAAAATTAGATCAAGTCTAACTCCAAAGATTTTACGTATTTAATAATTTTTATATACTTACCTATCTTTTGAAATGATGACGTATGAAGAAAAATTTAAAATTAAAAAATTGTAAAGATAACATTAACAAAAAATAACCTTGTACGAATATTATTTAATATATGTATTTTATTTAACCAGCCAAATTAAATAAAGTAAATTTGTTTTTTTTTTTAATATTCATGCGTGTATTGCAGGCTTTTTTTACTACAAAAATGGTGTTTAAAAGATTTTGTTATTTGTTAGTAGTAATAACATATTCTTCAGTCGAGTCGAGTTGAGGTATTAAAATTTTTACCTTGACTCAACTCGAGTCATATTTAAACTTGACTCAAGTTAATTTATCATAAAGTTCCAGTAAATTCGTTCTAAAGGAACGATAAAAATTCTTGCATTCTCAGTTTTTATAAACGAATATTAGTTTTCTTTTTTTTCTTTGCATTATACTTTCCTTCCATTAGTTTGATTGTAAAATCCATTTCATTAGTTTCACAATATATGGATTCTTTGTATATAACATTTTTGAATACAATTTTTGTCAATATCTCCAAGAATTAATTTTTTACAATTTTTAAAAAAATTAATGGGTCTTGTAAGCATGAGAGATTTTTTTTTAAAACGTAGTGTATAACAAAATAATTATGCACTTAGTAAATTCTTATTGGCTGATTCGTTATAGAATTTAGTCATTGTTGAAGTATCACCAACTTTAATAATAATCAAAAAAATTTTTAAATAAAACTCAAAATTTTCTTTATTGATAAGAAAAAATCCAAGAATTCATTTGTTGTTGTTACCTTTCAATACCATAAATATTAAATTACGAGAAATCAATTCTACGATTATCATTAAATGTAAGCAATATGTAAATTTGAACTTTATTACGTACTTTAAATAAACTGCCTGTTTTGACAATGATTGCAGTATACATAAATGTTTATATTTATGTACTGTATCATAAACGTCTCGTATTTTAAAAATATCAAAAAGCACTAACACAATAGTGGATCGAGAGTTAAAAGATTCGGAAGGAAACTTTCTATGAATGATAATGAACATTGTAACAAATTATAAAAAAAGAATGTCACAGTATTGAAACATGCATTAAGAATCAACCGACGTACAGTATCCATGAAAAATCCTTAAATAACTAAATTTATTTTTTTTTAGTTGACAGGATCTTTTTGAGTCTTTTAGCTAGTTTTCTTCTGCAGAAAAGTTCTATATTCATATTTTGCTGACAAAATATAAGTATTCATAAAAAAAAATATTATATTTTTATAATAAAATTAATAATGTTAAGTATTCTCTATACTAAAGCATCACGAAATATTATGACTAAATTTGGATATAAATTCTAACTTTTTAATCGTTTATAAAATGCGACGCATTTACTTACTTGATTCTGAAATTTGATATGTTATGTCAAAGAATAATAGTTATTTTTAATATCTTATCGTTTATCTTTTTATTGGTTAAGAGAACTATTTTAAAAGTTCAATTCAGTTGAGGCATATCTCAATACTATTTAAGAAATTTGTTCATTGTCTTTGGAATTACGCTTCATTATTCAATTGAAAATGGTGCGATCTCACTTGTTAAAAAAATGTCCTTGTTTTTTCACGTCACGTGATAAATTTTAATTATAGATAATATATCAGAAACCAATCCAGCAAATACGTAACAAGAAACCCAGCCAAACATTGCATGCTGTTTGACATACTACATTAAAAATAGGGTTTAATGTTAAAATTTGTTGGTTGATATAAGTTGATTTGTATTTTAATTTAGAGTTAAAAACGGATTATACAATTTTTAATTTTAATTTATTTAGAAAGGATTGCAAAAATGTTATTCGGTTTAAAATATAATTAAGAGAACTAGCTACATTACATAATAACAAAAATGCAATCATTGTTACGGCTGTCGATTTTTAATTGAGAAAAAATAATATGAATTTATTGTCCCGCGTTAATGATACCATTTTGTTGATGATCATCCTTATTACTATTTTCATCTTGGTAAGAAATATTATGCGACAACCCATTTTCATCAGGAATAATTGGATGCTGCAATTGTTGCAATAGGTAAAAGGGGAGAATCTGCTTCAAGCTTTGTTCGAGATTAAATTTTTGATGTAAAGTCATTAATCCTTTACCATATAAGTTAATATCGATATCCATTCCATATATCTCCTTGTTCAAAATATCTATAATCAAAGAATTTGAGAAAAGTTTGCATGTAACGTAATAATTTGCTTCTGCGCATTGATAAAAGAACCCATGTTCGTAATTATCATCCAAAGAGATAAAATCTTGTAAAATCAATTTACAAGTTACGTGATAAAAGTTATCATCATCTTGTGGTTTATAAAAAAGTCTGAACTCGTCCAATTGCAAAAATTGGACGGCAGTTGGCGCGGTCGTCATTGTGCTTTGAGACATTGGCTATTTGAAGTGTGAGTAATTTGTCACAGATGACGGATCTGTATTAAAATTTGAAATAAACCTTGTAGAAATCAATCCTATATGCTAACTAAACAATAATAATTATTTTAAAAGTGTTTAATAGAATTTATAATGAGCATAAGAATATTTCTAATATAAATTCTTTTGAAAAGGTCTATAGATGACTCGACAAGAAATATTGAAAAATTTGTGTCAATAAAGCTAGAAGATATTGTCGTTTCGGAAGTAATAAAAAGTGTTATAATACTGTGTGTAATAAACCGAGAAAACTTAAGGAATTTTTTGAAGTGTGTAGTGTCAAAGAAGAAAGGAAACAGGAAAAAAAAAAAAAAAGTGGGAAGGATCGTTTAAAATCAAATCATGTGTAACCGTTAGGATTGACATATGATGTATAACTTCCATTCCATAATAGGTATATAAATTTGTCCCGAATCAATCCGATGAGAGTTATAGTGAACCTCCATGTAAATGGAAACGCTCTGAAATAATGCCTCCATATTTTATGCTATAATTGCCAATCAATATGCGAATAAGTGGAAAGAACATGTCCCCAATCTGATGAGAGTTATATATAAAGCTAAAATCGGCTAGGAAATATAATGGACCTCCATGTAAATGGAACGCTCTGCTCCACTACAATTATTCTGCCGATCAATGTGCGAATAAGTGGAAAAAACTTAAACAGAATTTCAAAAAGCATAATAATCTCGGAAATTTAGTCGTCAATTTTTTCCTCAGGCTATGTAAATACCAAGTTTAAATCATTTAAATAATTTAACATTCGCTCTTAATAATGCGAAATTCTCTTCTGATGAAATAACTGGTTGTTTTAAGCATAAGATGAGTACTGAATCATCTGTTGAAGAACGATCGAAAAAAGTCATTAAAACTGATTTTACGTTGTCAATTTGTCAAAGAAAAGAACATAAAGGAAAAGGAAGTAACAGAAAGATGCTTGAAATAAAGAATATAATAAGCTAAAAATAAATAAAATTTTCTTGAATTCATTTTTTTTAAGGCAACATTGAAACAACACCCACTCAGTTTCTATTGGGAACATTGCCAGTACATTACTGATAATATGATTTCCGACTTGATTTTACTGGCAACGTTTTCAATGATTTTTATGTTATGTATACCTTTGATTTATTCATAATATGTATATGAATTTATATACTATGATTTAATTACAATAAAATTGTACGTGTGTACCTTCAAATCATTTGATTTTTATTTTATCAATTAAAAAAATTTCAATAATAAATACAGTTGTGTAATGACGAAATTAACACTATTCTAATAAAAATGAAACGCGATATCCTAACAAAATACTGGAATTCATTAAAGAAGTGCTTATCACAATTAAAAATGTTCGCGTAGTTTCTCTCAATTTCCTTTTTTGTTTCGCGCGCACATAAGTCTATCCTAATTTGTGGATTATTTAATTGCATATCTTATTATGTCTCCGGACGCAAGCTTCTCTCTTTATTTATATTATCCTTTCGAAATTAGTAAGATTTTGTAAATAGTGAAATTAGGGTAGTATTCCTATGTTCAACATTAAATTCATATACAATAAATCAGTTGAGTAAGGAAAATTGGTTAATGGTGGTAGTTAAGTATGAGTCGGAAAATATGCATAATAATTATAAAAGGGTTGTGTAAATTAAAATGTAAGGGAAAGAGGAAATAATTCATTATACAGTTATAGTCACACAGTTGGGTCACATAGTGACTTTTAAAGCAAATGTGCTTATAAGGAGGTATTACTATAACTGTGATTATGGAAAGGGATTTTTCTTATAAACATCCAAATTTCAAATGTGTGACTATACATATGATGTGCTTATATAGAGGGTGACTATATGGAGGTACGACTGAATTATTGATACATAGTATATTGATAAATGAATTTTCATTATGAGAACAAATCAATAAATAAATCTTTAATTGTTACAAAACTTTATGACGTCATCAATCAGAATGCTTATAAAACTAACTAATATCTTAATAAATAGGAATAATTAAAAACAAGTTTAACTAATAGCCCAAGAAATGTATTATTAAATTGATTAGACATGTGATGAACTGAAAAAAATTTGGAGTTTCGATTGTTTTAATTTTACAATTAAAAAGGAATTTTTTGAAATTTCAAAAATTCTTTTTTTTTAATTTTGCCTACATATATGAAAATAATATTAAAACTTTATTAAGAACTATTACAAGTTATACAAAATGAAGATTGAAAGCTTTTAAATAAATCATAACGATGCGATGCTATTCCAAACTTTGTTATAATTTAAGAATTAAAGAGTCAAATTTCTTAAAAAGCATTCAACAAGTTTAGCTTAGTTAAATTTTTTTGCTTATCGAAATTAATGCTACAATAAAATTGAATCAATGAATTTTGTATCACCTTTGATATCTCAATATTTGAATATTATATTCCAAGAATTTTTTTAATTAAGATATTACATTTTAATCTAATAACTTCAAAAACTAAAGTGCTATAAAAATCAAAATTTTGTTAAAAATTTCCAGAATCTGTTTTTAGAATCGTTATATTATCTTTCGGAATTTAAATGTCTGCATTTAATTAATTTTTTGATTTATTTAGTATCAACCTGAGACAGTTTTTTTTTAAAAAAAAAAAAAATTTTTTTTTCTAGAAAGATCGTAGTCTATACAAGCTCTAAACAGGTTAATACAAAAGGTAACTTAATAAAAGGACCCTGATCAGCAATTCATTTATCCATTAAAAGAACCTGAACAAAGGTGTTTTATAATCGCAAGTTATCGGACGATAAATTATTTATTTAACATACCTTTAATAGCATGATTTTCAGTTACCATTTATTTATAAATACTTGCCAACCTTGCTTAAATTTTCAGATTTTTTCCAATCCTCGTTATTTCCCTTATTTTTTTATATTTATTTTTTTTTTTTTTAAAAAAAAAAAAAATCTTTTCTTCTATGTTAAATAAAAATTTATGTTTGGGATTTTTATCAAAACACTTTCTTATATCTCATCAAATAAATAACCATGCAGTCATTATGTCACGATTTAAAAGTTGAAGTATTTAAATATACCACTAGTCCAATTTCACTTGTCGCTACAAATAGAGATTGGCGCGCTATTTCTCAAGACCCCTACACCCGAGCGGAATGGTTAATTTATAAATACGGGATATCACACGCATTATTTCACGCCGTTAGACTTGGCAGAAGCTTCTTAACAGTTGAAGTTGTACAAGCTTTACTTTCGAAGAAGGCGGTATTTTCTAGATATTTTATACAACGGCTATATAAGAATTTTGGCACTCATGACGAGAATCTTATGAAATTTAAAGAACAACGTGATCTAAATCAAATTAATAGAATCATCCGAAAGGAAACCTGGGGTAGCAGCTTACATATGGAAGTTTTCAAAATATTACTTATTGAAGGATTTTCTATATTTCATAACTGTGAGATTAAAGGGAATGATATGGAATTATTTCATTTATTATCGGCTGGTCCTCTTGATGTTAATTATGCTTCTCAAATACTTCGACAAAATATTGATTCCATTGAGGATTTAATTTTGAAATACAAATTTATCCCTTTTCCAAAGCGTCCAAAGGTTGTTTATGAAGATACGGTGGAATATGCTGAATTAATGCAAGCTAGAGCTGATGAAGAGCATTCGTTAAGATATGGTTATGAGAGCAATTTTCAACTTGATGTGGTGGCGGGAGCAATATTAATTCATCCTGATTTAATCTCTTTGTGGAATAAAATTGGTTATTACGAAATATGTAACGATGTCAATGAGATAGTAATGCGAGGGGCTCTTTTAATCCTTTTCCCCCTTAATCCACCTAATAATTGGGAACGTCCCGATGTGAATACCATCGTTACTCGTTTAAAACAACTTATTAAACTTGGATTTCATTTGACTTATAATGTTTTGGAAGAAATATTTCATTTATTTGAGCATCGATTAAATGAAATTGGTGATCTATTGATGAATTCAATCAAAGAAATTTTCGATGAATCAAAATCGGTTATTGCAGAGTCTTGTCTTATTTGGGCGATTAAACCTGAAAGGAATCACGAGAAGACTGATTTGTTGAAATTTTTAATCGATAGAATTGATCAACCGGAAAAGGCTTTGAAAAATGCATTAGATCATTACAAAGTGGGATTCAGGTTCGATTTCAAGTCCATCAAAACAACAAATGAAATTAGATCATTAACGGTTAATTCAAACCTTTATTATTGGATACTTAAAAGTTATGGTCCAAGCTCGGAAATTACGCAACAATGTTTTGATGATATTGTTGAATCAAGAACCTGGATAGATTTAAAATTACAAGGAACATCTGGAAGTGATGGTCCAATACGTCTTACTACTTGTGCTTTTAATTCTATCTGTTCTATTTATCTTGAATTTTGTAACGACAAGGTTCCATTTAAACCCTGTTACTTACAATATTTACAATTGGTCAATAATAATGAAATAATTGAACCATTTTTTGAAATGAGCTTACCCATAACATTTGGTTTACAATTGAAAGGAACATTCCCTTTTGATATTACTTATGATTACAAAAGACCAAAAGTTGATGTTCAAAATCATAAGAGGAAATCTAACGTGATGAATGATAATCAGCAAACTACGAAAGAAAGGAAAAATTGGTATGATCTACTAAAGAAGTATGAAGAACAAATTCTTGGAAATAATTTTGAATTGACTGAGAGGTTTAAAAATAATTTTGAGAAATTTTGGCCATTGTTTATAGATTATGATCAAATGAACGATGGTGATGATTTCGTTGTTGAAGGTACTTCTTCGAAAAGGCTTAAGCAATGAAAATTTTCACAATTTCTTTTTTTTATGTAGCGTTAGAATTTTAAAATAAAGAAATCATTATTATTAGCAAGTACTAGATCATGTTACTGATAACATAACGCGTGCATAATGATACGCGTTCTTTCTTTGCGCGTGGTTTTTCTTGATGTCATTACGTTTGCAAAATGGCTTCGACAAAATAAACAAAACAATACAATAATAATGACAGATTTATATCTCCCAAAACTTGCACTTCTAAGTCTAATATGTCAATGCATCATCCGCCCCACCGGAAAAATATCGGTTAAAGCAAGTTTAATCGGTTACTCAAGTAAAGAACGAATAAAGTAATACTCGATTTTTTTATTGGTTAAATTCAGGTGTTACAGGTAAGGCTTCGATTGAACTTCTGTCGCACGACATTAAATGACAAAATAACGTGATTAACAAATTTTTTGAAATGCACATCTTTCTAATTAATAACAAAACCTGTGTTCATCGTTCTTTTAATTTTCATAATTTCAATCAATAACAGTAAAAAGAATTCGAAATGTCTGAAATCAATTTTTTAGGTTTTAGGATTTTCCTTACTCTCACGTACTACTTTGATTAAGATTTATAACTTAACGCAGGTTGGAACCAGTAATATATTTATGCGATTTATTTAAGTTTTCTGTAATCATTACACAATTAAAACTTTATTAAATTTGTAAGTTTAATTTAAACATTGATATATTCGGCCGACTGCACTACGCAAGGGCATGATAATTCCTGAAAGAAATCGTTGTTCAAAAATAAAAAATTTCGTAACTTTATGAATTCACAATAATCGTCGTTACTTTGGACATCTATATGATACAATTTCTTGTTACAGTGCCTCTCGAAATATTCCGATCTGCGTTACCGCACTGGAATTTTATCAATTATTGCATATCAGAATACGCAATGTTCAATTCGACAACTATACCATATTAGAATTCACCCTTTACCAACGTATCGAGCGACAAACAGCGCTTCATATAATGCAGCTTCGTAGGACCAGATGAGGTGTTCCAATATAATCGTCATTTTTGATTGTTATTATAATAGATTTTTGTATCAAAGGATTATAAATGTTGAGAAAAAAAAATCCAAAATCAAGTTCTGGTCCTTTCAGAACAAATTTTGCGAAAAAAAATAAATGGTAAGCCTTGAGTGCTGAAGAAAATCTCCGGGAGTAAAGCTCGCTGTAATTATCGCTTTTCCATCAAAATAATAAAATAATAATATCCCTAAAAAAAAAATATCTCTGAACAAAAATATATCCGCTTTTTTCCATATTCTAGTTTTCTAAATTTTGGTCTGAATTTAATAAAGTGTGAATTAAAATTTCTTAAAATAAAAAGTCTGTTACCAATTATGGGAATTCCTAAATCCGACTAGTTTTGATCGATATTACTTGAGAATAAATCTATTCGTCCGCATTCAACATTTTGCTGTAAAAAAATCGTCCTTTTAAATAATTATTTTGTCCTTTACCAAATGGTTCGTGCCATTGAAACATTTAATTCTAAAGTAACAAGTCATGGAATATAACAAAGGAACAATATTCATTTTGGAGTGAAATTATTTTCTAGTAAATAGGATTGATCGATAGCTCTAGTTTAACTATTTTAAGAAAGAAACACATTACACATTTTACATCGTTCTTTTTATTATGCTAAATAAAACAAACAAATCAATATAAGTTAATAAATTAACACAATAATCATTGTACGACATCATGACTAATACTAAAGGTATTATGTGCACATGTCGGGTTGATTTAAAAAAAATAGCATTTACGCATTAAGATTTAACTTAATTAATTAAATTAGTGAAAGGCTTTATGTTTCGTAATGAAAAGTTTTAAGAAGTATGCATGCAATACCTCCGACTAAGGAAGTGAAAACTAACAAACATATCAGCAAAGCAAAAGGCTAATTATTTTTAAAATGACGGATGACAAATTTATGCCGTGTAACGAAAATAATCCTGAAATTAATTATAATAAAAACAATATATATAAATATCCCCAAAAAATTGTTAAAAAAAAAAAATAAAATGTTTGATTTATTCTCTTGGATAATAATAATACATTAATATAGTTATATAATATACAGAATAATTGAAATGTTCATTATAACTATTATAACTCTTAAACTCTTAAATTCTAACAATCACCCTACTTCCCACACTTCCCTTTCTACATAAAATTTCCATAATAGTTGAAATTTTGATTACACATATGGCTTGGTGCTAGATATTTGATTAGAAGTTCTTCCAAGTGTAATTGAAGGTTTCTTTTATGTTCTTCAGAGAACTTCACATAAGGTTGTTCATTCAAATTTAGTTCGATATTGCGAACATTCTTATTTAAATATTGAACCACAGATATATGTGGGATCAATTCACAAGTTACTTGATAAATTTTCTTATCATCCGGTTGTTGAAAAGGGAAGACAAACTTATTATTTGATTGAACATCATTATATGGTCCAAATGTTATATCTCTACAAAAAATATCGTAAATTTGAAAATCATTTGGTGGTTTATAAAAGAATTTAAATTCATACGATGTCTTGGGTTCAATTGTGTTGATATTTCCTTGATTATTAGGAATATAATCGGATGTAGGAGGTAAATGAGGTAATGGATAAAATTGATGATATTGAATTGGTTGTGGAATTTGATTTGAAGAGACGGGCTGAATAATAACGTTATTAACACCATTTTGTTGATACGAGAATTGGTTTTCGCCAATGTTAACATCGTTATGAACGTCTGGAATCATTTGTATGGATGTCATATTTGATGAGTAGTTCAAATATGAGGGATACGAGTTCGGTCCATAAAGATATTGCGATCGGGTTGGTGTTGTATCCATAATTTAAAGAAATCTTAAGGTAATAAGTTAGGGTTTTTTGATTTTTTGTTGGTTTTTTAGATTTTTTTTAGATTTTTTTTTTTTTTTTTAATGATTATATTTATAAGAAAAATTATTTATATTAGATATTCTAGATTATTCCGAAAAATGCTGCCCCTTTTTCTTTCATGAAAAAAAAAAAAAAATTTTTTTCCCGAGCACCATAAATTTTTTTTTTAACCTCCTTTGTAAAGTCGTTCTTTTTGCTTATTCAGTTTAAACAAGTTTTTCTTGTTTATTTAGTCATCACATTTGATTCACATAATCGAAACACAAACTTTAAATACATTTTTTTTTTTTTTTTTTTTTTACGGGATTACAATTAAATTAAACATAAGCACTGTAACCTTGACAACAAAAAAATAAACAAATTCCTTGATTCTCAGTACCCATGACTTATTCATCATTTGTGACTCAGGTAATGCTATCTTTTATTAGGGATGATTGATTATTGCATGTTTTTTTTTTTTTGAAAGGATTCAGTCCAATTTGGGATTTCTAAACGGCTGAGAATTTATGAGGTTTGCATATATGCTGTCAAATCATAATATATTTAAAAGTGCATTCGATCTTTTAGTTAGATAAAGCCACCAAACAAAACAAAAAATGGGGAATTGAAATGTAAAGAAAGAAACAAAAAGAAAGAAAAAAAAAAATATTAGTTAATATGAAAGATACATTCATTGTCTTACAATTTTTTTTTTTAATTTCGCACAAAATTAATTCTAACAAATCGAGAAGTTTTAAAAGGAAGTTCTATGGCATGTGCATCTGGAAATAAGGTTAAACAGAGTCAGCCTTATGAAAATAAAAACCGACTCTACACAAATAAGCAGCAACAAATAACATGGTCGAGATGGTATACATGAATTACCATAATTATATCACGCGTATTGTGACATTAAGACGCGAAAATCTAATGGAGTTTAAATCCGACACATCGGAGTTTCAAAAAAATTTTTTTATTCCTTATAATAATTTCTGTTGTGGTCAAGTTCTATTGTTATCAAATCCATTGTTTATATTGTCAAATGTCATTCAATCGACGATCTTTGCTATTTTTCTTTTGGTGTGGAGTTATGGAATACTTTACTTACCACTACTCCGAGCTGTACGTAATCAGAATTATTACTTAAATGTAAACAAAAAACGTTTTCAGTTTATTATTAAAGAAAGTCATGTTTGAACTTATGTACTGTAGCAAAAAAAAAGAGAGTTGAACAATGCCGAAATAGGCAAATTAAAAAAAAAAAATCCCTTTGTGCTTGCATCTTTTTTTTTTTTTTAAAAAAAAAAAATAAATAAAAAAATAAAAAATAAACAAAAAAAAAAAAAAGATATTGCAAATGTTACACTGAAAATAAATTTAATAAACAAATAAGCAATAAATAAAGGATTGTGGCATAGCAACCTGTTTGCCTAAATTCGTTCAATTTGTCGAACTTCCGCACGCTCCGAATTTTTTTTTTTTTTTTTTTTTTTTAATTAATAAAAAAACGTCTTACATTCATTACAATTAGAACAAACAACTTATCTATTTACGTAGTTAAACGTCATTTGCAACCAACCTCGAAATAATCTTGAGTTTACTCCTTTATCAACGCAATCTTTGTATGGTGCTTATGACAATCAATAAGTCTTAAAATTGTTACCGGCAATAAATCCGGTAACTCCTTTTACCGGGCGACGATGTATTAGATAAAAAAACCACGTGTGTAGATTATTGGAAAAGTTCAATAAAATCACATGCCATTTTAGATCTTTTGTCAATGATAATTTTTAACTAGGTCGCATTGAAAAATTTATTACCACTTTTTGGACGCAACTTCCTCAATTATTATCTATAATTCTCAAATTTTGTTATAAAGATTGCGTTGTTAATAAACCCAATATCATGTTCAATTTCCATTTTGCGAATACATCCTTTTCTCATAGAAACTGCATGAATAATAAAAGTGATTTGTAGAGTAATTAGGTTAATCTATGGTTACATGTTTGATTCAATAACGTCGAGAAAGCGCATAAGTTATAAGGTTTCATTCGAATCAAGGCTCACCATTTATTATCGTTATTGTTCCAGAATCGAAAAAGTGTGCGTTAGGAAATAATCCCTTTTTTTTTTTTGAATATTCAATAAATAAATAAGTTGGATCATCTTAAACCTTTTTATTTTTTTGTTATATTTATATTTATTATTTTTTATGTGTCACACTTCAAATATTTTAGTGTAAGCAAGTGATCACATGTGCATCATGAACTCGGTACCGTTTTTGTTTGTTTTTTAACATTTATGACAACCTTTGTATTATTACATTATATATATTTTTTTTTTAGATTGACAAAGCACATATATATGAACAATTAAAAATTCTACGTATACTTTTTATGTCAAAAATCTTTTATATTAAAAAAAAAAAACTGTTACGGCGATTTTTATGTAAACTCCGACAATTGTTTCACAATGAAATGTGTAAAAGGAAGCGAAGTTTACCAAACAGGACTGTATTAAAAAGTACCTATTGTCCTAAATTTGTTAATCTCATTGTACTGTACTGTACACACATAAATACTTTCTAGTTTGGATCGTTAAAGAAATTCAAGGTATGAAAAAATTTTGTTTTTCCTTGACATCTAACGCTCCATCAAACTTCAACATTTGAACCTGTTACTTTATTATTATCAATCAAAGGTTTGAATAAAATTTCATTTTGAAGTTTTTCGCCATACCCCATTCCTTGACAAATTCTAAAACTATTGTTATAAAGGTCTGTCAATTTCTAAATATTTCTTGATATAATGGAGCTACCGAATTACTTATCAAGGGTAAATATTTAACTATTTATGAGCAAAAGAGTATCTTATAACGATATATTTTACGACAATTCGATTGAACAAACAAGTTAAAAAAAGAAATTTTTTTTTTTGACTAAATTTCTTTATTATAAATAGATGCAAAAAATTATACGAATAATACGAAAAAAGCTCATTCTATCTAATAAGAAATAATTCATGCCAAGAAACATTTTTCAAAGTTTCATCCAAAATCCATTTGTAAAAAACTTGCGAACGAGAATAGATCAACCTTAAAATTCTTATAGTCTTGCATAGTGAGATAAATTTGTGCCACTTAATTAAAATAAAAAAGTCTTAGGAATGGAAGGAACGTAAAATAAGAATGTTTTGAAAGTATAATGTGTCATAAAGTGAACATACAATGAAACGTATGTTTTGATGAGAAACTTAATTTTGGCTTTACGAAATCATAAAAGGTTAGAATAATAAAATCTTATTCCATAATAATTACCATTAAATTCTTCATGGTAGCTATTAATATATTTAATAAATAAAAAAAACTTCTTAACTTCTTATCAAAAGCATATAACATGTGATAAACTTAATGTTCATATAGTTATAGGATCAAAATTTATTTTGAGTCGGCGCGGTTTATTAACCCGGAACCTCCCTCATCGCACCCCATATCTTGCGTGTCTTGCATGATGTCAGAAACGACCTCGCTTGAAGGAGTCGAAGCCTCATTATAAATGGGATTTTCCGAATACGTTTGGGAAGTAGTCTGAATCATCATGGCATCAGAAAATGGGATATTATTATTATCATTATTATCGCGTTGATAACTAACGGTTTGCTGAAGTTGTTGCTGAATCTGTTGATGGATCAACGATTGTATATTATGATGATACGGAAATTGGAATTCTGGGACGTGAGATAAATTTATCCTACTGTTTAAGCGTCGTGCGATTTCGTGTGTTGGTAATTCGGTATATGTGACATGATAAATGCGCGCGTCATTTGTAGGTAAATAAAACTCATAGGTGAAATTTTGATTCACAGGAACCGTATCATGAACGTGTAGAGAGGTTTCATTACGGATGTTTGAAAATTCGTCGACGTTGTTAATCGAAGTACGTTGAACGTTTTGTTCATCGATATTATTAGGATGATTGGAGGATGGTACGTAGTTATTTTCAGCTTGATCCATGATTAAATTTAGGAATAATTTTACACCGACAATTTCGCATTTAAAGTCAACTTACGACATTTATAAGCGTGCAAAAAGAAAAAATGAAATGATTAATAACAAAAGTTGGAAATTGAACTAAGCTTTAGTATTTAATTGCGTGCAGGATCAGATGTGGTGACAGAAAATTCTGCAAAACACCGTAGTTCCATTCTCGAATGATGCCGATACATAAAAAGAAGTTTCGACCAGGTATTCAGATCTTACCTATGGTATAAAGAAAATCCCTTGTTGATTTGATTACAATTAAACCAATAATAGATCCATTCCAAACCATGTAAGAAATTATAATTTTGTTTTACCCATATGGAAGTACAACATTTAAAGGGAGACGCAGCATCAAAAGAATTCCTAATCTATTTATTGATTAACTTTTTAATAAATAACGAATCGAGATTGACCAATCACAGGTCAATAAAAGAAAATATTGTATTGGTAAAAAGGTTATTTTTTTATTTTTTATTTTTTTTTTAACTTTTTTACCGCAACAAATTAGGAATCTTTAATTCAGGTTAGGTTTCTTATTTCTTTTTTTTAAGTAATTTACATGCCCCTTGTAACTGAAACGTGTAACACAAAATGTATTTATTTATTTATATGCGGGGGAAATTTAATACTTTGGATTTATGTTTAGCCTCTGAAAAATTAGTCAACTGATGAAATGATAATTTTATTAAAAGTTAGGCCCCTACGATTAAAAATATATATATTCTTTTTAATAACGTCATGTGTCTTCATGAAAGCAGCAGAACACAACTTAATAACATCATGAATTATTAATATAATTCCAAGTTTGGACCCGCATAAATGAAGATTGCATCATCCGTTTACACGAATTAGATTATTTACTGTATAATCTAATATCAAAATTTTGAATATTTTGAAAAAATAATCAATTACATTTTTTTTAAGAATAAATTGT